AGGCAAAGATTTTGCCTTAATTACAGGGCATAAATGCTTGATTACCAAGCCTAACAACCATACTAAAAATATATAAAACAATTTATTTTGTTACAATATTTACGCTTACACATCCAGCAACCGGATGTTTTGGACTCATTGTGGATGGAATTCAATGTTGGAGAGCATATGTGAAGGAGTTCCTATGGTTTGTTCACCTTGTTTTGTCGACCAACCAGTAAATGCAAGATACGTTAGCGATGTATGGATAGCGATGTATGGAAGATTGGTGTTTTGTTGGAGGATGGCTTTGAGAGGGTGGGGATTGAGAAGGCTATTAAAAGAGTAATGATGGATAAAGAAGGAGAAGAAATTCGGCAGAGAATAACTAGTCTTAAGGAAAAGGTCAATCTCTCTCTTGATGAAGGTGGGTCGTCTCACCAGTCATTGAAGGGATTAGTAGATTATATTTCATCTCTTTGATCCATAAAAAACCACATGCAATATAATTCCATGTATTCTAAACCAAATAAACTTTGTTACAACATTGAAGTATTTTATGCTTCAAACTTATAATTGAATTGGCAAGAGATTTATTGTCGAAATTTATATTTAATCTATTTTTTTAATTAGTATTATAACTTAGAGGTGGGATAAAACTTCGCCCGAATAAGGTCTTAATCAGTTATAACTTAGGGCATCCACAATGCATTGAATTCTATTGTCATGTCATTTTTCTATAATCTTTAAAACTCTATCATTTTTTTTTCTCACAGTGCATTGAACAATACAAAGTTCAATATAATATTACAAAATGTAATTTGTAGTATATTTAAAAATTAAAAACTATTTTTTTCATTAAAGAGTTCAATGACCATTAAACGTCAAATCCATTGAATGCTAATGTAGTATCTCATATTGATAGAGTTTTATCCACTCAATGACATCTAGATTTTGTCGTGTCATTCAACCTTCTCTAGATATAGTTATTTGTGCCGAAAACTATTATACAAATAAAAGCTACAACTTTTGTTTCCACCTACTTTTGTCGAACATGTTCAATCTACAACTTTTATTTTATTTTTTCTACCATTATCAAACAACTCAACAAAACATATGGTATTGTCTTTTTCAATTTAAATTAATTACTTGAAATTTGTTAAAATTTAACCTGAAAATA